AAGAAACTGTCTTAAGAGACAATGTGGAAACAGAATCAGCCTTCTGTATTTTTTCAAGATCATATCCTTTTATCTTTAATGGGAGATTCTTAACACGTTTCTCAGCCATCTGACAAATAATACTAACAGAATAATGTAGAATTCCGGGACCTGGGAGATCCAAGCAGGAACCCCAGCTCTATAGCTAAAAGAAAGCAGGAGCAGAATTCCTTACTGATTTACATGGGAGCTGTGTCTGCATTTGTGTGGACATTTTGTTTCATTAAAAATTGTGGGTTTGTTCTGATTTTCAGAAAATAAATGAGTAGATTTAATTGTATTTATTTATATTAAGATATGTGTCATCTGCATAGTGTTTGTACTTACAGTGCGGAACCTGAGGTGGCCTCTGGCAATGCAGGGCCACTGCTTTAAAATATCTTCTCCAGGACAGTCTGCATACAGGGAGATGGAACCAAGGCTGCATGGCTTTGCCAGCTCTCCTGAAGCATGGCTGTCTGGGATTTGGTTGTGCAAGTTGCAAGGCAGTGAGAATTTGTATAGTGGAGCAGGTGGTTAAGTCAGTTTTAAAAGTGCTTTTAAATTACACTGAAGATCCAAAATCTAGATTCCAGCCTGCATCTGACCTGTGTTTGCCGTAGCTTCAGAGAGAGGAACTGCAAAAGCGGCTGTGGGTTCAGGCTAAATCTGAAGGACCGAGTAAAGCACTTGGCAGCTTCCCAGGTAAGGCTCCTTTCAGCCATCATGTGTCCTGGAGATTGAGAATGGAAGTAATGGAAGCCTTTTCAGAAGGAAAATCTACCCCAATTTGATCCAAGCTATGGCTGCCTTTCATCCATAGTTTGGCTTAACACAGCTGCTGCACAAGTAAGAATGCAGGTTTCAGTATGTTTATTGTATGTGTAGTGCAGCAAGTACGTAAGAGAAGTCTGCAGAAGAAGGTTAATTGTAGTTAATGCAAAGACTTCAAGCAGCTGGATAAAATGATAATATTTTAGCATTTCCCTGTACTTTCCATAAAATAAAACTTTAATTTTTAGCCCAGCTTTGGTACCGTTCACTTTGGAGGTGTTTCGAGTTCATAGGAGCTCTGTGACCCAAGAACTTGCATGCTGTAATGCTGCAAAAGGCAAGTTCAATTCTTCTTAGCAAACTAAAACAAGGAGGAAAAGGTTAAGAGGTTAAAAAAATCAGAAAGCCTTCTGAGATTTAATTTCTTTGATATCTTTAGGAAAAAAAGCACAGCAGTGTATAATCCTTCATCTTCAGGATGTAGCCCATGTGAACATTCCCTTTCAGTTCATGTTCATCATGTTACTTCTGAAAATATTTCCAGTGCTGCAGTGTAGGTAAATATTGCTATTAACATTAAAGAGGATAATAGATACGTTAAGCATAGACCATCTACCTTAACTTTGAATTTTCTAGCTTTTGATATGATGTTTATAACGTTCTTATCATGTTGCTGTGTGAGCATCCTGCAACAACTATAAGTTTATGTTCATTTCTTCTTAAAAATATTTAATGAAAATCTACACAAAGCACATTGTTTAGCCAGGAGATCAGAATATTTTCCTTTTCATCAGTTGTATTCTCTTGGGTCCCTCAGTCTCAAATCCCTCTCGAGAGAGGGAACACCAGAGGGTTTCGATTTGTGTTAATTATTTGAGACTTTCAAAAACCTCTCTTATTTACTTGGTAAATGTGTGTTTTCCTAAGTGTTTTTAAATTGTTATTATTTTTATTATCATTGTTGTAATATTTTAATTATTCCTACAATTATTCCCACCATAGATTCTCTCATTACTATGTGTCTGGGTGCTATTGGTTTCCTAAAGCAAATGTTTGTTCTTTTTTTTAATTTCTCTTTTAAATAAAAGAGCCCACGTTTTAGTCCTAATTCAGGCATTTGGCTCTTTTGAAGCACAGGAGAGTAGTCAGCCAGTTGGATTACTCACATGGCCACAGGCAGGTCTGCCATACTCTTGCCATCTCTGCTTCAGTCTTGTTCTAGTGTGGTTATGCCGGTTCCAAATCGCTGTTGGCATGTGTCCAGTTGTGTGGCTCCACAGACAGGCACAGCTGGGCTGCAGCTGTCCACACAACTACCTACACTTGTCCTAAGCGACATCTTAGCCATACAGCATCCACTGCTGCCTTAACTACTAAGATTCGATATTGGCCCATCTGCAATATTTGACATAATGTCAAAAATAGATCCTGTCATGCCTTGACTGCCTTTTAGGCTTGCCTGAGTGACAGTCATGGCAGTACATTGGCAATACATTTGACAGAAAGAGGGAAGACTTCTAAGGAAAACTGGAAGTAAACTCCGTCATGATTTCAAACTGAGCACTTTGTGGCCATATGCAACACAAGCCAGGTAGTAAATATAAGTGCTCCTTTCTTGAGTCTAGAGCTAACGTTTAGATGTGACTATAACGGAAACTCTTGTTCACTCTATTTCTTTTCTAATCTTGCTCTTAGAGGTCACAGGATTCCCTCTTGTCGTATGACTAGGGATATACTGGCACAATTTATGTGTGTGTTTCAGTGTGCACGTGTATCTTCCGCAGATTCCCTCTTTATTTTGATTTTTGAGTTTGGTTGCAGTCTCTTCTGGCATTATGCAAGAAAAAGGTTCTGTTGATTGTACAAATCTTGCTGCATGTTCTTGAGCATCATTTTTTGGTTTCTAATCTAAGAACTTACATTTGTTCAGTTCTTTTACTGAATTTGTCTAACAGCTGTTTCAAGCATTTTTCATCTTGCTAGCAAAAAGGTGTTTGTGAATTGTAGAAATAAATGTATTTTAAGAACTTCTAAACAAAAATACCATTAAACAGAAACTGATTCTGTAAGCAGATCCACCACAAAGTATCTGAAAACTAGCAGTAGCTGTGCAACAGGCCCCTAATAAGGACCTCCGAGATGGCATAAGCATGCCTCTTCTAGACATTCACTTGCACTTTTGTAAGCCCCAGGTTATTTTTTCGCTGCATTACAGAAATATTCTGCTGCCTCTCTAAACAAGCTGGTCGTCTTCTAAAAACATATTGGCCTTTTAGGCTCCTGGACAGTTAGCACTGTGCTAACTAGTTTACCCTAATATAGCCAATATCTCCATGCTGGTATGGCAGTGTGGACGTATGCCTTATATATCAGTAGAAAAACTTTGTTCTGTTCATCATCTTCGCTCTGTTATGTTAATGTAGAATCCTGCAGCTGGGGAATGTTTGAAAGTTTCTGAATTTACTAAGACACCTATTTCCTATGGTTTCTATTGACTTAATTTAGTGACTAATTCCCTCTACTCTAACCCACAGCAACACAAAGATTCATGTTTCTAAGAATACCTGGGAGAGTCCCAAGCTAGTCAAAGGACTAGCTTTTTCATATTCTGTCTCTAAAACAATTTAGAACTTTTTCATAGCAGTAGTATCAAACCTTCCTTCAGCTTATTTGTGCTGTAATAAATATTATAGTCTACTCTTGAAGTTAACTGAAATTGTTAATTTTACCCTCTTTGGTCTTTCGTATATAACCACAAAAGTGATAGCCACAGCAGAACTTTCTCCCTAATACTTAGCTGTCTCAGAAACCAATTTCTATAAAAAATGGTGTCTGTACATTAATGCTATTATTAATTTACAAATTATAGAGAAAGGCAAGACTATAAAAATATGTATATTTTCAGCTACTTTTATAAACAGTATCCAAGTTCAGTTCATAATTATGATTGTTATCATGAGGTTTATTAATCCTTGTCTGTTTAAAAACACTTGCAAATATCTGTAGTTTTTCAAATTTTAGTGTAGAGTAGTTTGTCCAAAAACAGCATATGAGTGTGAATTTCTGTTAGCTAGCTGCCACTGTGAAATGTTAAAAACTAAAGTGCGACCAATTAGAAAGAAAGAAAAGAAAAAAAAAAAAAAAAAAATTCAAACTCTAGGGACATTTCTTGATAGCAAAATCCAGGCAAACTCATCTTGTTTAGTTTTGCTTGTGACCCTTTGCTTCTTGGTATTTGCCAACATTGGTTCTTGGGGAGTTGTATGGTAGGCTACATCAGAAAATCTACCCAGCTGAAATGCCCTCTTTTTCCTTCCCCCAGCTTGTCTTTATTAATAAACCCTTCACTTTTTCCTTCCTGCTGCAGTTCTTGCCTTTGTTACCCATAAATTCCATAATCCCCAGTCTCCTCTTTTATACTTCCCTGTCTCTTCAGACAGATCAGCTCCCTGATCTTGTTTGCTGCATAGCTGTGCCAGCATAACATTGGCTTGGAGGGAGAATGAGCAGCTGGAATGGGAAACATCAAGCCATTGAGGCATGCTGCTGCCTAGTATGAAGCCACAGCCATAGGTGACTCTACGTAAATAGAAAATTCCCCCTGATTAACTATTTTGAACCAACAATATGCCAAGAATTTCCCAAACAAAATCATAAGTGCTAATAAGCTGTGAATATGTGACAGACTTCAGGATCTGTTTGTAAGTTACCTGTGAAGGGGAAAAAATGAGAGAAATTAACAAGAGTTATTCACAATGAATTATTTGATCCTCTGTGGTCATGGCTATTTATACACTGCAATCACTAAAGGAAATGAAAAACATTTTGTGTTCCTTTTCCAAGTGCATGGGCTGTGTATCCTGCTTGCTAAAATGTAAAACTAAAAATCCCAAACTGTTGCAGATTAAAAGGATTTGCTGGTTTAGTAGTTGGGCAAGTGCTACAGGAATGACGAACATTGTGAAATACCATCGGTTGTTTTTGTAACAGCTGCTCAAGATATTGCCTAAAGGTTTGGAGTTCTAGTGAGCCTGGAAGTACTTAATGGAGAGTAAGAGGAGAAAGAAAAACAAAAAGGAAAAAAGGAAAAAGGTGTTTGGAAATTTATTGGGTATTGACACCTGGTCTATTGATCTCTTAGAAAGGGTGGAGAAGATGGATATAGCAAAGTCATTTATAAAAAAAAGGGTAATGTTTTTCTTTCACAGAATATGAATGCTGCCAAAAAATGAAAATCTGTCAAACACAGCTGGTCTCCCTAGACAGTTTGGGAGTGCCACCAGAGGTACAGCTTGTTTTGCTTTAGAAGATTGTATAACTCAGGAAAACATGGATTTGTAAATATGTCTTTTTCTTATGATTTTGTGATTTTAGAATTTTCGTAGTTTCTTTTCTGTAGTCTGATATCTGACTATACCTGTCTCCCTAGTATCTTCCGATAATCTCTTCCAGTAATCTCTGCCATCTAAAATTTTTCTCTCCATATCCATAAATTTCTTTAATCTCTTCTATATTTTGCTGTCTCTTCAGCTGTCCTTAAACAGGGAAACCATGTTCATGGAGACTGGCATAATTTCCTCCAAGAGCAATAATGGAGCAGAGAAGATAGGTTTCCATTGTTCAGAAACATTAGGAAGTGGTGGGCATCCTGGATGAGGTTACTATGTAATGAGCTTTTGAATATATTGGAACACTGTAGTCATGCTCTCTGAGAGAGAAGAAATCTCATCTTTCTGATCTTTCCCTTGTTATTAGCAACAGCATGAGGAAAAAGTGCCCTAACCCCCAAAATACTTCTGCTTTGAAGAGGCTACATATGACACCATCATTATTTGCTTTGCTTGCATCTGAACCTTCTCTAAGGACTACACAGATAGACTTATGTAGCAAAATTAAACAATGTGAAGACTTTTTCTATACTCACTTGTTTTTCCCCCAAAGAGGAACTTCCTCAGACTCAACTAATAGAACCAAAAAAAAAAAAAAAAAAAAAAAAGCCAACAACAAAAAAAAAATGTATTTTATTTTCTGTCCCTTAATTCTCCATCTGATTAATCTGGAAATGGGAAGCTCAATGCCACTATGCTGTCCAGTATTAACTAGCATGAAGATGGTAAGAAAGTGAGTTAATTGAGTGAGGGCTGCAGCTGAGCTGAATAACATAACACAGCTACTTGTACTGTTCATTAGACTTCTTGGTGCAAAGGTGGTTTTTGCCAAAATGGTATGTATGTTTTAATCTTATTTCACAGAAATATGGGAAGAAAGATAAAAGACTTCTGTGTAACTGAACTGCTTCATAGATGCAAGAGTCCTGAAGAATTGTCCTAAAACTATGTTCACTGGCTCTATCACATCTTAAATTGTATTACAGGAAATTCATCTTGGTCAAGTTGGTATACGTCTGTTACATAGGTAAGTTAGGTCTGAGTGCACATAATTGACTATGGGGGCATTGCTCATTTTCATGTCACATATAAACACTTCTCATTTTCTCCTCCCTTCAAATGCAGAAACCTTTGAAAAAATAAAATCAGTTTTCACCCACACTTCGGTTCTTGTGACTCTAGCTTATACCTCATCTCAGTCAATCAGTGTGTTGCTGTAATGGAAGAATTATTTAGACTGAAAACTCCCTCTGCTATCAGAAAGAGACTGCAAATCTGACACCACACTTCCTGCATTTGTTGGTGCAGAGAGAAGATTCCATAGTGGTCACCGTTACGTGGGAGGAGGAAGAATTGTAGTGATGAAATGTGAGTGATGGGACTGCAGTGAGGTACAGCCAGCTATTTTATTCTGGCTGGCAGACTGGAGAGGCAGCCTCTCTGAGTAAATCTATGATGAAACAGGATGTTTCTCAGTGTGGGGAGGAGTGGATTAAAGTACAGGTGGAAGTATGGTAAGAGGGAATTATGTGGCATGAGATAAGATCTACTGTATGCAGAAGATACAGAGTGAGTCAGAGTTTGGCTGTTACATGGATATATATGGGATAGGAGCAATATAAGCTCTTGGACTTTATAGAAGCTTTGAGTAAAGCATTTAAGTGAGAGCATTTAAGGCATCTAGGATGTGAAGTGAGAAAGCCAGAGATAGTGAAAATGTAGTGTGGTTACATGGGAAGATAAGAAGCATCCTGAAAACCATGAAGTATGAAGGAGAGAAAATGAGCATGCCCGTCAGCTGCACTGTATATGGAGAGAGAACAAGGATGGCTTTAGAGCAAAGGGGCTAACTGAGGAACAGTGAGCAGAGGAAAGGTTGTAAACAATCAGCATCCATGGCATGTGGTGTTGGACCAGGGAACCAGGTGTGCCCTATGGTTGAACAGAATGAGACAGTGTTTTTATACCTGCTGAGGAATAGTATGGAAACCATCTGAAGCTGGAGCAGAAAGTTTATTCAGCATTTTCCACATGAAAAATTAGTGTCATTGCCGTAGCTGCATTCTTGTTGCATCACTCTACCTCACTGTATATTATCCCAAACTGCAGATAACCAACGATCTCTGTTGTGATTGATTTACACATTAGACATTTACTCTGCTTATATTCCTATTCTAAAATATGCAACAACATTGTTCCTGGCCAGCTGCAAGACTTGGTGAAAATTTCAGTGCTTGGATGTGGTGATTTCTATTTCTTGTATCAGCCTTCTTAGGTAGTGGCAGGAAGCAGAATCTCCAAAACCTGTCAAAGCTATCACTCTTCTAGTTCAAATGTTGACAGGTCTTGGTAAAGCACACTTTGAACATGTCTGTTCTCTGTCACTGCCATGAGTGTAATGCATGAATCCAAAATCACAATGATTTTAGAAGCAAACAGCATCAGCTGCAAAAGCCTGATCCTGTTAACACTTCCTTGGATAAGTATTTTAAAAGGGATACTTTTGTGCTAGCGTTTTTGAGGGTATTTCATGTTTGTGATCCTGATTCTCATTTCTTTTGAATGTCTTGATTCTTATCTTGATTCTTCAAATATCACAGAATCACAGAATCACCCAGCTTGGAAGGGACCTCAAGGATCATGTAGTTCCAACCCCCCTGCCTGGCAGGGCCACCAAACATGCACATTTAGATCAGGATTATTTATCAGGATTATTTAAGAATATAAATATTCTTTGTTTTTCTTGTGGCTTACTCAGTGTACTTGCTTAAGTTTTCAAGCCTTTTGCTAAAGATGTTGCAACAGCGTGTCTAGATATCCAATAATGTGATCAATCGCTTCTCAGCTTCCACTGAGCTGAATGCCAAAGTCACAACAGATGTTGTCTGAAGGAAAGCAATGCCATTTATTATCACACTGGATGTTAAAGATAGAACCATATTCATTGTAAGAATCTGATGAAGAAGCTCTTGAATGCTAATGCTGTCCTGTAAAAAAACTGTGCTAGAAGCCGTTGACAACAATGGTAAGTAATTACTGATTAAACTGTGTAGTAACTTACCTTTGAAGTGAAAGGTAAGCCAAAAATAATGTTGATTTTGCATTCTTCTGGCACTCTGTACACTGTTCTTTATAGGCATATTACAAAAATCTGTGCTGTTTTTTTACTTGTACTTCTGAGTATTTGTAGTTTACTGACTTTTACCATTTCTTACTATGGTGAGAAGAAATTGATAGCTCATGAACAACCAAAGGAAGTGAGTTCCTGTTTGGCTGAGGAAGCAAGATTCTGCCATTCACTGTCTCACAGGGTGGGTTTTTCAAACTAGGCCCAGTGATCTATCACAGTAGGTTACTAAATACAAATACTTACATTTAACAGAGCCAATATTAGAACTTAATAAACAGGAATAATGTCTAATCATGACAAAGCTGCATTTTTTGAGTTTCCAGAGTTCTGTGTAACTTGTTTCTGATATTGCTGAGCTCTTGTTCCCTGTAGCTGGATGTATTCAGTGTGAACATGCTAATGATCAGATATAGTTCACTCAGTTTTTGGAAAGAGGGCAAAATTAATTTAACTTTGAACTTTCAGAGCACATTGCTTCAGGTACTGGGATAATTTTGCTCTGTAGGCAGTATACTCCTAGGACAATTTTGTTGAAAGGAGCTGAGATTTGCCTGAAAGTTTAAAGGATCTTTTACACTACTGTCCATTCCATTCTGAAGCTTTAAAGCATTTTCATTGTGGCTGTCTGTCAAGGCACCAAGTTTGAAATTCATCCTGGCCACAGCAAGAAGCAAGCTAATGTCTATATTAAATTATTTAACATCGTGGATTTATTGGTAATAGCACTGCCATTGTTACTAAAATGTTACTGTTGAATCCAAGTATCTATTGCATTACAGGTTCTGCATAGAGAATATTTCTCTCTTCATGTATAATGCTGACTTTTCACAAACAGGATTGAAGGAAGTATAGTGGCGTTTCTTTGCCATTTTCTCTAAATTGCCTTAAAATTTAAATTAGATTGAATGTAAGCATGAAAAGAGTATCAATAGCATGTAAGCTTCTGGTGGGTAAGCAAATCTGGATATTCTGTTATGTTCAGGTGCTTACCTCTTACAAGATGATGGCATAAGTCAATTTTCAGTTCCTTTGATAGAGTAATGTTTCCCTAATGGAACTATGGAACAACATTAGACAGATTTCTCAACACCTCCCAGAAGGCTGTATAAAACATAGTTTCCAGCGATAGTCTCCTCCAGTTTTTAATACTATCTCTTTTTCTGTAGTAATCATAATCCATGTACAGTGTTTTCTCCTCTTTACAGACTGATAATGAGTGAATGTTCATGTGGTCTGTTACACAACACTAAGCTCTTATTTCACTGTCTGCAGTTATGTTCAGTAAGTACAATATGAACATCATCTCAATTAACAGAGTACCTTTAGGGCTTTTCTTAGCCAACTATTCTAGCACGCTTGTCCATACTGTCATCAGCACCTAATCAACTAATGATGGCTGAAAATGAGGAAGGCCAATCCCAATAAATCCGAAGGATAGTAATTTTTCTCTTTTAATGCCCTTCTCCCTCCTTCTTCCTTCTTCCTACGGCACATTGCAGTAAATTAATGTCATAGTGGTTATTACAGTAGCGCTGCTATGGCAAGTATTCAAGCAACGATTCTCAAATATTTTACCTCAGCATTTATTTGTCCATAAAATAAAATAAGATTTATTACAGTACTCTCTGGTTTGAGGACTGCATGGACAGCAGCTGTGACAAGTCCTTATCTCCAGTACAGGTAAAGATATAGGGATGTTTCCCTGAAGCTAAGGAGAAACAAAAAATACAGAAGTCAGTCAACAAGGCAATGTTACACACAAATTGACAAAATAAATAAATGTAAGCATGAAAAAAACCTTTTTATCTTACATGAGGCCTAAGAAAAATCGTTTAGTAATTTTGTCCTTGAAAATTCTCTGTAAATTAAAGGGATATTCATTGCTTTGGAGATTGTTGTGTCCAAATCAGATATAGGATTTTGAGGCTGAAAGATGGAAAGATAAATGTGAGGAATTATTGTTGCAAACCCTATTCAGAGAGGGCATAGGAGAAGGAATTACAAATAGAAAAAAAGATCTTTGTCAATAAAATTTAACAGAGGCTTATGGTGAGTGTTGTTCAATTAAAAAACAAATGGTTTTGACTGTTTGAAAGGCTTCACCTTGCAGAAAATGCTCCCAGATTACAACACATTAGTTCTGAAGCCAACCCTGTGGCGATATGACCGCTGGCATAGAGATATTCATATTTTCAGCTATATGTAAATTTCTGTGTGTCATTAACATCTCTGAGTTCTGTAATTAGGTCTCTCCTGATCTGGATATAGTTTCTGTACATTATGAGCATGTACCCCTCTCTAGGGAAGAAGGCCAGCCTTACAGGGTTTTCCCTTTCTTTTCTACAGTTTTGCTCTTATCTTTAGCAAGGACATCCTAGCAACTGCTTCTTCAAGGTTACAGTGAGATTCCTGGTGGCAAGTGTGAAAGGCTATAAAGCATTATCAATATTTGGCAGCACAAGTCTCTACCAGTGTGCCATAGTTGGAGCAGCTCCTTCCTGTATAGACAGTATTTTTCTCTACCTGGCACTCCTCATTTTAAATAAATTCTCTCAGTATTTGCATTCCACAAATTGCTCTCCAATTTCCAATTGTAGTTAAGATTTTATTTTTGCATCTGTTTTTTAGTAGAAGAAACAGATATTCTTACAATGCAAAACAGCTATGTAAAAACTTAGAATGTCCGTTTCTGAATAAATATTATTTAATTAAATGAAACATGACATACAAATGAAAATGTTTTTCCTTCTGTTCTTCTCTTCAGTAGTAAGCATCAGAGAGTGCAACTACAAAGAGGAAAGTGGGTTATTAAAGGATGTCTGCATTTGGGTTAGTTTGTTAGAAGGCCTTTTCTTGCAGCGTTACACCCAAGAAATGCTGCCCTCAGTATAAGCAGGTTCTTGTTCTATGGCCAGACTATTTTCTGATTTTTACTGAATGTGGTTTCTGCTTGGGTATAACAGAATATTGGATAATGAAGATAGAAAACCAATAAAGAGAAAAAAAAAAATGTACAGAACCGCTTAGAAAGAATTCTGTGTGTAATTACTTGCATTTTTGCTAACTACTGTATAAACAACACTTTTAACAAGGCAAATTGGAAACTTGAAGACAAATCTGCTTTGGGATATAGCTTCAATTTATTACACAATGATAACTGAAAACTTTGTTTCTGCTGCGTTGCAGTCAATTTCCACTGAGCTCACATTCTGAATGTGTGATTAATCATATGAGCACCCGGGTTGCCAATAAATACCAAAACCTTAAAACTATAACAACTTGCTCATTTTGTGCGGTCATTCCAAATAGCTAAACAACCAGAAATTGTCAATGTACACCAAGATCAATGCTCCAGGGTCTCTACATAAGATTGATTTCACTCTCTGAGGATTTCATCTCTCTCATCAACAAAAACATTTTGTCCTCCCTAAATAATCCAATCGAATGCCATCCTCCTGTGGAACAGTGAAAGGTTTAAATTGTTTGGATTAATCTCTGCTTTGAGGTGGCCTGGAAAGTCTCTGCAACTTTGTCAAACATAGCCTGGAGGGAGAACTGCTGGGCTTTGATATGTGCTAAAAATAAACAAATAAGAAGAGAGTATAATAATCATGTTGTGCTTTAAATATAGTATATTTGGGAGAAAATGCATTTAAAGCTTCTGCTTTGAATGCAGGAAATATATAATTGTTGGTGTATTTCTTATTTCTAAGGGCCTTCAAACTCCTCTCTCTTGGAGATGGGAAAAGACGATGGAAGCCATATGGACAGATTCAGAGGGAGAGGATAAGGGGACCAGGAGAAGCCCACAGAGATCTTTCCTAAAGGATGAGTGAGATGAAACTGAAGGAATTAACACCCACTGCCTTCTCCCTTCTTTGGACAGTGAATACACAGGTAAGGTGTAATGGAAATTTGCAGATTAGCTCAGATTCTCTGCCTAAATCTCCTTCAGAGGATAATTTTTTTTCACATTTGTATTTGGGAAAGACCAAGCAAAACTGTTGGTTCAGCAGGAGCTTTGCAAGCAGTAGGATAGGTTACAAACAGACAATATGACAAAGACCACAGATAACTGCATTCCATAATTCTTGTCCATTATGCAAAACAGCCCTTCCCAATCTGCATAAATCATTGTAAACTGGATGAATGGTGATTTTATGATCTTTATCCAACGTTTTTTGGAAGGAAGGAACCAGGATCTTAATCAATTCACAGTTTGCTATAATTGGGGTTCAGTAAGAAGATCAAATTCTATCCCAAGTGCATTTGAAGTTGCCTAATTTCTTTTCCAAATGTTTGGTTCATCTGGAGGTGTTGGCTAAGAGCTTTGGTGACTTGGACCCACTGTCCCCACAGCAAAGGATGAGGGTCAAACTCCACATCAACTGTGGACATTGAAAACATTTGGAGGCATCAGTCTCCAGGCATGTGAGCAGGCAGGTCCATCTGGTAAACTGTAATTCCTGGAATTTTGTGCTTCATTTCCAAAACAGGTAGATTAGTGTAAATATTAGTAGACTTTCAGGATTGGGATGAACAATTGGTGTTTAAATAACTAAATGATTACTAAATGAAGGCCACACAAGCCAAGCATGATTTGCTTCTGTCTTGGACTGATACTAGCTCAGAAATGTTGAAAGATCTATGCTGAAATCCTATGTAATATAGACTCCGTAAGTGGAATAGTTTTGAATTAGGTAAGGTTATCTTGGTGTCAAAGATCAACATCAAAATAGTAAATTAATTGTTCTTGAAGGAACTGAATATTTATAAACAGACAAATAACAGATTGCTCTGTAAATTTAAATATCCTTACAGTATCTATGGTCTTAGCTTTGCTTTGCATGAAGTGTAAACTCTTCTGCTGCAAATATTTCTCTTTTGTAGATCTGTACAACAAATCTTACCAATGTCATTGTATGTATCATACCAGTATGCATTCACTTTGAACACAAAAAATATTTTCAGTAAGTTGAGGCATTAAGTATTCCTTCGTAAGCATTGAAAAGATGGGAGTTACTTGGAAAAGAAATGACTGAAGGAAGAAGATTATCACTTTATTCTACAGTAACCTAAAAATAGATTTGAAGGGGCATGCCTACCACTCTCAGGAGTACATATGGATTTCTTGCTGACATTAGATTCTCCAAATTGAATGTCAGACTTGCCAAGAAAGTGGGGGTAGGGAGGAAGGAAGCAAAACTGTTGTTATTATTAGAAGGGCAAGACGAAGCATCATGATTACCATTAGAAAAACCTGTAAAACATATTTGTATGTTATCCTGGAGCAGAAACAACTGTCACGTGTGAACAGTAGTTAGGCAAAAATACTGTGATATATTCTTATGTCCCAAGGGCCTATCTGCTTAACAAGCAGATCTTGTAGAGTGTGCACACACGCCAGAAATTTAAAATTTGCCTTTTTACAATTCCTTTTTACAAATTTACAATTTGAAATAAGCATTTTCAAGATTCTCACATACCAAAGAACAAAACGAAGCATTGCTTGTGTTTGTCCCTAAATGGCAAAGCCTGGAAGTCCACTTATAGATTTATGAAGCAGATATATAATGATTTAATAAGCAGATACATAACATGGAAAGATTCCATACTTTTTAAACAAATGCATAAGTAAATTTCTGTATCTATTTTGTCTTTTTTTTTTAAGTTTTTTTTTTTAAAGTGAGATCAGAGTGAAAAGAAAGAATAAAGTTAAGTTTATTCATATGAAGTCACGTGAAGGTTGCATCAGAATGACAAAAAAAATCTCCAAATAGCCACAGGATGCTGGTAGTAAAAGCGCCTTACAGTTGTCAGACCTGTCTTGAGCAGTAAAAACTAGTGAAGAAAGTGATGTACATTTATCATCTCTCCTCATTCTTTTTTACTTTGGGTTAAGTAAGTCTCAGATAATGCAACAATATAGGCATACAATAAAGCTTAAGCTAGGAGATGAGCAATTATGTATATAAATCTAAATAAAAATATTATATAAACATCCACGTATGAGTAATGTTATACCTTCATTAAGAACAAAGTAAAATCGATTGGGAAAAAAAAATTTGGGAAAATCTGAAATACCTTGTTACAGCTAATAAGACAAAGTAAGACAGAGAAAATGTCTATGAGGTACTAGGAAATTGACAGGAATGAGTGGAAAATCATAGTACCAGCACCAAACAACCTGGAAATGCTACTTACATGAGATAAAACACAATTTGAGACTACTTGATTGTCAAAGAGCACATGCAAGAGTTGGGCATGTATATGTGTGATTAGAGAGTCAGGATCTAAGAACCAAGTGTTTGGCTTTACTTTTTAATCATGTAAAAATTTATTTTAGGGAATAAATTTTCGAAAGGCAAACTCAGGAATGCTAATTGTTGAGAGTTCCTTTATTTACTCCAGTGTGTTAAAAGATGAATAGTCAATGGTTTCATATGTTTATAATCAATCCCATCCAATGAGAAATAAATATCGTGGAAAAGAAGAGGAGCCCATTGGTCTTGTTCCACTTGGCCATGTAGCCAAAAGCAAGGCATATTGCGGGAAGGCTCAAGGAAGCAAGGATTGGCATCCCTGCAACTGTGGTAGTTGGAAATGAATTTGTGCTTGCATGTTCTCGATGGGCATCTGGAAAAGTAGAGTAGAACAATGTTTGCATTTAGTCCTACTTGAGCTCAGCAACCACTGTGTAGGTGGCAAAGGGAGGGTGTGGTCACACTGGTTGCTGTTCAGATTTGCACAGATGGCAGAATCCCACTAAACGAAGGTGATCTGTGTGTACTGAGCTCTGACAGCAGCCTCCTCAGAGACTGGTAGTGCTTTACCCTTCTCCAGAGGTGAGCATGTGTGAACTAAACGAAGGAGGCTGTCCCATACATGACGAGTGGCAGTATGGCATGTTTCACCAGGGATTGCCTTTTAGTCTCCTCCCCTTCCAGGGTAACATTTTCTCCTGTTGGGTCTCTTTGGCCTTACCAAGTATCCATGTGGCTGCCTTTCCTTATGCTGAAACAAAGACTGGTTGCAGTCTGTCCATAAATAAATGACACACAGGGGATCACAGGCAGGAATGAAAATCCTAATGTGTGGAGCCAATATCTGGAAGTGCTTTCCTTAAGTCTCCTCACTTATGTAAGTAGTTCAATTAATTTGAGAATGAGCTGAGAAAATTTGACTGCATTTCTTTTGTAAGTATATCCTTAGACCCTCCCACTTGCTATGTTCTTGCAGTTCCTAGTATACCATTCTTAAGCAATGACTTTGGCTTTCTCTTCCTGAGGTTACATTCCTTTTTGGAAAATCGCTTAAGACTTCATGTTCATTGTGGTTAAGCTGAGAAGCAGATAAATGCATAAGCTAATGTCCCAATCAGCAGCTGCTTTATGACTGTACTCCATTTATCACATTTGTCCATAATGTTATTCTGTTCATTTTCCGGTATGGAAAGTAGCAAAGAGAGGCCCTCATCCTACATTTGTCCATATGGGCTCCATAGCCTGTGCTGGGATTTTGTTATTTCAGTAACGTTGCCAAGTACTATAAACAGCCAAAACATTTTGTGTGTGACATTTTTTCAGAACTTCAGACTTTAGGTGCCTGCTTTTTTGTGTGTTTTTTCCTTATCCATGGCAATTTCTTATATAGTTAGCAGTTCAAACCTTGAAAATACAGACCCTATGTCTGAGGAATGCAGTGAATTTTTTCTATCTCAGGGTGATAGTAGAGATTTGCATCGGAGATAGGAATTTTTCTCTTCTGTTACCTTTCTGTATTTCAATGCTTGCTCTGTATCTGTGGCATTGTACGTTAAAGTTAGGAAAACACAGTAACACTTTAAATTAAGGTGATCTTTATGAATATTTTATTATTTGTACAGCATTCAATAACATGCTTGTAAAAATCTTGAAAGTATGTGTTGAAATAACAGGCAAACTATTTGAACAATGCATACATCTTAAAATACTGTTGTAACAGCTTATCACCTTGCTGTGGCAGCATTTTAAGCATTTATTGATGATGCATTTTATAACTTGCCTCACAATAAGTTATTAAAGGATGTAGTGGCACCAACTAATCATTTCATAAACATTAATAAACCATTTATACGGGGCACCTACATTTAAAGTGCCTGTAGAAACTTGCATAAAATGTTTGGAACAGCTGACATGCAGTATTGGTGCTTCTCGTAGTGCCAAAGCAGTGTCACGTCTTGGTGCACATTGACTCCTCTGTGTAGCTGGAGTGTTATTGCTGCCAGAGATAGAGCTGGGGGCTGCACAGAAATTCCAAACACGAAATGCTGGAAATCTCTTCCAGAAGAGAACATGAGGGAATGCATATGCAACATCCTGGAGATTTTGGTGGCCACTAGTAGTATTTTTTCGTACCTGTTCTTAACTACAACACAGCCTGTGTGTAGGAAAATGCTGTTCAGATACAAGGTACATTTTTAGCACCTTGTGAAGCAATTAAAGATCATGCATGATAATAAAAATCCAGTCACCAAATACTTAGTCTTAATATGCTAAAGTATTTATACCATATAAATATAACTTTGAGATACATGGGTAAATATTAAGAAATAAATTCGTATGCAATTACCAAAATCATTCTAAAAATTAGAAAAATGTCAGGTAATTAAAAATTACATGAGAAACTGCTGCAATTCTTACTGTTAGCTACGATTTACTGGGAGCATTTAAAGAAACGTTAAAAAAAAAAAGTGGTATTTTATTCCCCTCCCCCTGCAGATATAGATTTTATTTGACCTATTGCTTTTAAAACAGAATGGCTTAAAAAAAGCACTCCTTACATGATGAAACTCAAAGACAAAAGAGAGAATGCAAATCATTTCTATATTACATATATGTTGCTCCATTTGGCAAAAT